TACCCCTCGGAAGGAAGGCTGGACAATCTATTTCTGTAGTGATACCACCTTGGAAACCCAAGGAGGGGTCCCCAGGAGTTGGATCCTACTCGATGGCAATGAGGTTTTTTTTTTTTTTTTTTTTTTGATATCTCAAAAGAGATCGACTCAAGATACACCCTACACTAATCCTACTAATAATGTAACAAAGACAAGTCATTCCCAAATGGGATTTTAACTACATAGATAGAAGTTATGAATTACAACATATTTTTTTTTTTGGAAATAATTCAATCCATAACTGTGTCCTTGAAGTTTGCTGATTTGGTGATAGTCTTGGCTATGTTTCTAATACTCTGCTTATCAGGATTTGGATGGCACCTGGGATGGCTCTCTCTCCCAGTCTTCAAAAGTCAGCTGCTTAAATTGTAGGACTCTAGTTGGAAAGGGGATACAGGAGGAGTGGGGATTATTAGAAGTGCCTTTCCCCACAAACAAGGGAGAAAAGCCTGTCCTAACTGCATCTGTGCTCTACGCAGACTCCTTAGGGCTTATGGGCCATGTAACCAATCTGCCAGCAAACATATATAGTGCCTTTGCTAAGTGCAAGGATTATTGTGGGGGTATATTAAGAGATAATTAAACCAAAAAATCAAACTCACTGCCATCGAGTTGAACCTGACTCATAGTGACCCTTCCTTGAGTTTTCAAGGCAGTATCACTATGCAAGTAGATTGTCCAACCTTCCTTCCAAGGAGTGGCTGGTGGGTTTGAACTGCCAGCTTTCTGGTTAGCAGTCAAATGTCTTAGGCACTATGCCACCAGAGCTCCCTAAGATGTAACTAGTCCAGTCCAATTGCCGTCAAGTTGTCTGACTTGTGGAGACCTCGTGTGTGTTAGAGTAGAATTGTGCTTCGTAGGGTTTTCAATGGCTTTGAAAACAGACTTTTCTTCTGATACACCTCTAGGTAGATTAGAACCACTAACCTTTTGGTTAGCAGCCATATGTGTTAACCATTTGCATCATCTAGGGACTCCCATTAAGACACATAGACCATAGTATGGTGGTTAATTCTCCTAATAATTCTGTGATGTATATATTATTATCCTCAGTTTATAGTCAAGGAAACTGAAGGTCAGAGAGGTTAAATATCTTGTCCAAGGTCACACAGCCAAGAAGTGACAGAAGTAGGATTTAAGCTCCTATGTCAATGCTGTTTTTTGGGTAAGAGGGCCTGTACACTAATATTATGCAGTCACATTTGATTTAGAACATTGCATTAATAAGGGCTCCTTCTTCTAAGGGCTAAGACAACCATATGGTTTTGTCTTCAAACAATCAGAAAACCACGTGTCTTGGCAGTGTCACCAGCAGCTTGCTACGTTGGGTTGGACCAACCCCTTTCATTCTCACTGTTGGTCCAGTGAGGTGGAGGCCAGGAGATCCTGATGGAGAGTGTCAGAAGCGAAATGCTAAGCTCTCAAAAAGGTGTTTTAAGTCTGCCCTAATGTGTGTACAGGAGTAGTAGACTTCTGGGCCTACTCTGGCATTGGCACCTCTTTCAACAGAGAGAAGCTCAGAGCTAAGGCAAACACTCTGGGGGTCGTGAGTAGGGCAGGCTAGTGCTTTGCCTGCACTCTTCTCTATTTAAGAACAGTGTAGCTGAAAGCTACAGGGTCCCTCATTAACATGAATGGACTTGGTTTTCAGAAACAAAATGGAAGCCACATCCACTCCTAGGTTAATGAGCAGAGCCTGTAGTTTCTAAGCCAAGCAAGGAACATGAGCATGAAGTTTGGTTCTAACTACACACCTCACTGCCCTTCGTGCTTCAAAGCAGGTGGGTGCATGCTGTCCCATGGCGCTGGAGGAAATAGCTTCGCGATCCTCCCAGCTCCATCAAAAAAAGATTCCCCTTGGTCCCAGTGAGGCCCATGAGAAGAAACCACTTTCCCTCCCTTTTTTACTTCTTTGTTCCCTTTGCACTACTTATTTATGTTTCTTGTCTCCTTCCTTTCCCATTTCCTCATTTCTCTTCTTAGAGAAACTCTCGCTCCTTTGGTCTTATATAAAGCTAGCAATGTGCTCTTCAGAACATGAAATGAAAATAATTCCATATTCTTTCCTTCTTCCCTCCCTCTTTTTCCTTCCCTTGGGGTTTTCCTAGGAGGTTCAGGATCTAGAAGTAGATCTCAAAATCTTAGAAGATGAACACAGACGATACAGCAAGTAATGATCAGCTTGCCACTGCCAAGGTTTTAGGAGAGGATTAGAGCTGGCAGTGCTGTCTCCTCAGCTCTGGGATTCCCTGGTATCATCTCTTTACCTATGGGCCTACCCTCTACAAGGTAACATCAAGATTTTGGTTATACCAAAATCAAAAAGTTGCTGTCAGGTGGACTCTGATTCATGGTGACTCCATATGTGTCAAAGTAGAACTGTGCTCCATAGGGTTTTCTATGGCTGATTTTTCAAAAGTAGACTGTCAGATCTTTCTTCCAAGGTGCTTCTGGGTGGACTTGAACATCCAACCTTTCAGTTAGCAGTAAGCACATAAACTGTTTACACTACCCAGAGATTCCGTGTCAAAATTGAATCTTTCTAATATAAAAACTAGGAGCTCTGGTAGCGTAGTGCCTAAGGCACTTGACTGCTAACCAGAAGGCTGGCAGTTCAAACCCACTGGCCACTCCTCAAGAAGGAGGGTTGGGCAATCTACTTCCATAGTGATGTTGTTGTTGTTCTTGTTAGGTGCTGTTGAGTCATCTCCAACTCACAGCGACCCTACGTACAGCAGAACGAAACACCGCCCAGTCCTGCGCCAGCTCCATGATCCTTGCTATATTTGAGCCCAATGCAGCAGCCACTGCGTCAATCCATCTCGTTGAAGGCCTTCCCCTCCTTCATCGACCCTCCACATTACCAAGCATGACATCCTTCTCCAGGGAATGGTACCTTCTGACAACATGACCAAAGTAGGTGAGACAAAGTCTGGCCATTCTTGCTTCCAAGGAGCATTCTGGCTGTACTTCCTTCAGGATAGACCTGTTAGTTCTTTCAGCAGTCCATGGTACTTTCAGCATTCCTCTCCAGCACCACATCTCAAAAGCATCAATTCTTCTTCAGTCTTCTTTATTCATTGTCCAGCTCTCACATGCATATGAGGTGACTGAAAATATTATGGCTTGTGTCAGGCACACCTTAGTCCTCAAGGAGACATCTTTGTTCCTCAGAACTTGAAAGAGGTCCTTTGCAGCTGACTTGCCCAGTGCTATATGTCTTCTGATGTCCTGACTGCTGCCTCCATTGGCATCGACTGTAGAACCAAGCAATGTGAAGTCTCTGACAACTTCAATCTCTTCTCCATTCATCATGATGCTGCTTACAGGTCCAGTTGTGAGAATTTTATTTTCTTTATATTGAGATGTAATCCATACTGCGGACTGTATTCTTGAATCTTCATCAGTAAGTGCTTCATGTCATCCTCACTTTCAGCAAGCAGAGTTGTGTCATCAGCGTATTGCAGGTTGTTCTTGTTACCCAGTGCTTCTCTGACAAGAATATACCACAAATGGGATGGCCTTAACAAACTGGAATTTATTCTTACAATTTGGAGACTTTAAGTCCAAGTTCAAAGCGCTCTAGGGCTGGGTGAAAGCCCCTCAACCTTGGGGTCCAGCTCTGCCTCCTGCTCCTGGCCTACTAGAGCTAGAGGCATTTCTTCACTCAGACAGCTGCTGGTTGCTGAGGCTGAGAAGCCCCAAGGTTGACAAGTAAAAAGGCACAGTCCTGATGTTACCAAACCACACGGCAAGCCATTAACTTAAGTACCTTGTAAGTCCCAAGGTCGGCAGAGCATAGCAGGCTGCTGAGCAATGACATGGCTCCATGCAGGGTCCAAGTGTGCCGTAGGCTAGAGACCATTCCTAAGGCTTCTCCTTAAATACAGGAAGCAGAACACATCCCAAAGGCAGCTACTCAGCTGCTTGTGGTAGATCCCACCATGGAGTTGACTGCCAGTCTCATCATGGGGAATAACTACCACCAGCTGCCCAGCCACTCAACCAGGCCCAGCCAAGTTGACCCACAAACATAACTACCACACAGGTTGTTAATGATTCTTCCTCCAATCTTGATGCCACGTTCTTTTCAAATAGTCCAGCTTCTTGGATTATTTGCTCTGCATATAGATTAATAAGTATGGGGAAAGGATACAACCCTGACACACTCCCTTCTTGATTTTAAACCATGCAGTGTCCCCTTGTTCTGTTTAAACGACAGCCTCCTGGTCTATGTACCTATGAGGTTCTTCATGAGTACAATTAAGTGTTCTGGAATTCCCATTCTTCTCAATGTTATCCACAATTTGTTATGATCCACACAATCAAATGCTTTTGCATAGTCAATAACACACATTTTTCTGGTATTCTTTGCTTTCAGCTGAGATCCATTTGACATCAGCAACAATATCCCTTGTTCCACGTCCTCTTCTGAACCTAGCCTGTACCTCTGGAAGTTCTCTGTCAATATCTTCTTGCTCACTTTCTGGTTTAACCTCTTCTATATCTCAAAAGAGACTGACTTAAAACACACCCTACATTAAAACTGTTGCAATAACATAAAAAAGAAAAGCCATTCCCAAATAGGATTATAATCACACCATAGGGCTAGGATTTACAATACATATTTTTTGGGGGACACAAATCAATCCACAACAATAGGTATAAGAAAAAATGGTATCCATTAATTAGTTACTCCAGATTCCCTTGCAGGTGACCAGTTTGAGATGAAGTATTCATGTTCTTGAAGGAAAGAAGCTCACTCTATTCCAATACCACTGAGCATGTGAACAAAGAAAACACATGGAAATAAAGTTCAGAGGAAGTAGGTTATATCATGGAACAATTCCTTGCCTATAAGAGGAGCTTCCAAATTAGAGCATCTAAGAGGTCATGGTCCCCCTTCCCTGTCCCCTTGAATAAGTCTCAGTGGTGAGGGGGAGGAGGGTGTTCTGGTTTACCTGGTTATTTCTTCTTTCAGGGCAGCAGGGTCTGCAGGGTAAAACTTCACACGGAAGCACATGGTGAATGGAGGCTGAGCTGCAGAGATAAAGAAGCACTCATCAGAGAAGATTCTCCACCAGGACATGACTGGGTCTCGCACTCTGGGATGCAAAGGCCTCTGAATCATCAGAAGAAAATCCATATATGTTGAGGGCCAATTTTATACTCAGAGCAGTGGAAAATTACATATGAAGACCAGGACTTACTTCCCATGAGAGGTTTTAACCCACCCTCCCAAGTGTGAGGCTTCAGCCTTTTCATGGAGAATACTTACATCTCAGTTGCTTCACAACAGACTTTGTAAACTCCAACCAATGCTGAAAGGGAGAACAGAGAGCAAGAAAACTCTGATGAGAAGCAGTGTGGAAGATGACTTGTTTTATTCAATTTAAATAACTAGATGGGTTGTAGCCCAGGGTGAAAGCAGCCTAAAAGCTTGTGAAATGTAGGTTTGGAAAGTAAAGAGAGAGATGATTTTTTGAAATAATCTTCCCATAGAACCAGCTGTGAGAGAGAAAACAGTTCTGGCTTCAGATGCTGTTTCTAGGCTTGCCTGGAAATGCTGACTTCCAAAACAGGGTGCCAAAGTTCTGAGCCATGTTTCTGGTGTGCCAGTAGGCACAGTATGTGCATGTATGTGTGATGGGGACAAAGTCCCGTGGGCATGTGTAGGGAAACGCTGACTACAATGGGTAGTTGTTTGTGTTATGTGCCAACTAGTTTTGGCAGAGGGGCAGGGACAGAGGCTATTGGTTCTAGAAAGTATGACAGGCAGAATGTCAGAAATGCTGTGAAGGCAGGCTGGGATGGCTGGTGTACATACCATCTTTGAATAGCATAGACTGTCAGCTCTTGTTGGAGAATAGGTGTTCAGGATCTCTTGGCATCCAGAGGTGTTTGAAATCTGGCTCCTAAGGTAACTAACCACAACCAATGCTTAGGATTGGTGAATAAGTGTCCTATTTCCCTTGGATTTTCATAGAGGCAGGGCCCAGGTGCAATACATTTTCTTCCCCCACAGCATTTATGTTTGAGGAAAGGAAGTAATAAGGTCACTCTATAGCTGTTTTCCAGTTCTACATGAGTGCTTATAAAAATTCATTATTGATGTTTATGGCTTTTATGCTAATAAGGAAACTCACCAACTTGCAGAAAGCTAGACTTACTGTGATTTGGGGTTTGATTTTCTAGAAGTAGCTTAAAGTCATTAGCTGTAAGTTCTGTGAGGGCAGAAAACTTATGTGTCATACTTGCTTTTTATTCCTAGTATTCCTAGTGGCTAGCAGAGTGTTCAATATGCAGCTATTGGATGAATGAAGGAACTGACTCCATGCCTTTCTCTTTTTTGGCTCCTTCCATTTAGAATAATGTCCTGGCAGAATCCTTCCTCTGGCAGGAAAGCAGCCAGGGCCACGCAGGCAGCATCCTGGCCTCCCTTGATTCCCAGCTCTCACCTTCTGGGCTGGGCATGGGTCATGCAGTTAATGGACCCACTAAGAGCCAGTTCTTCCGTCAGCTCCACATGGCTAATCTGGGCTGACATTCTGCTCTCTTGCTTCCTCTGATCTGGGTTCCCATGAGGCTGGCAACTCATTATAGCCACTCAGTGTGGTTAAGAGGTCCTTCTCACATTACATGGCCTACGGAGGTTCGGCTTCACAGGGGAGCAAAGGCAAGAGATGAAATTGCACAGAAAGAACTGGGGTTCCAGGCTGTGCCAGTGAAGGTGGGAAGAGGCCCGTCTGTTCAGAGCACACAGGAATTGTGTACAATGAGGAGAATGTAGCAAGTGTCCCAGACTCAGCAAACAACACTTTAAGACATAAGACGGGTAGATTAAAAGGAACAAAGGAAAATGGAAACTAAGAGGAATGACTGTGTGATGCATTATCAGTAGAGGGCAGAAGAGGCTGAATGACAAAAAGGCTACTCCCCTTGGCAACAGCTGGAGAGAAGACTTTAGTTCTAGTTTGCACAGTGAGAGGTCAAAAAAGGATTGATCTGGAAGAGATTAGGAAAGAAGGGGAAGGCAGTGGAAAGCTGTCACAGTTTGTCCAAGAGATTTTATGGGTCTGGTAGAGAAATCTTGACAGGATTCCAAGAATATGGTGGTGGCCAGAGTTACCTTTTGCAGCTGTCTGGCTCAATCTGGGTCCCGGAATCACTAATAAAGGGACAACATGGGGTTAGGGGTGGGGTCAGGAGAAGAGAATAAGAAGATTCAGAGAGGAGTTTCTTTCTTTATGTGGGTGAATGGCCCATTGTGGCACAATATACAATCTTCAGACTCTGGAGGCTTGAAGGGTTGTAGAGAGAAGCTGACGGCATTTTCAACCCCTGGGACTGAATCAGGAACAGCAGGGAGGGCAGCTCCTCAGGAGAGAAAGGAGAATTCCTAGACACCATGTAGAGTCCTACAGAGTAAGCAGTGATGTGGGGATGGTGTGAGGCTGAGTTCAGACTACCTGGTGACCGAGGGAAAGAGTTTTATTTTAGGGGAGCCAGGGAGCTTACCTTCTCCATCTCTGCCATGAATGATTGGATCTAGGATTACATGTCCTTTAAAGGTCCAGTTTCCCTCAACCCTCAGGACCCTCTCAAGTCTTTCTGTTCTGCTTCATCCCTTCCTCGAGGCACTGAATCACTCAGAGGATCCCAGGTATGAGTTCAGCCCAGATTCTCAACAATCACCCAGGTTCTGAGGTCAGGTCTTACTTTGCTACTTACCTTGGGCAAGTTACTTAACCTGTTTGAGCCTTTATTTTCCCATCTGGAAAATGTATATTATAATTGTGGATACCCATCTCATTTATTGTAAGAATTAAATGAAATAATACGTGAAGCTCTGGGCCTGGCACAACTCAGTGTTCAATAAACATCAGATCAAAGAATTAGGCTTGTGCTTGGTGCAGAGCCCGGTACACAGTAGGTGCTCCATAAATGTTAACTTCTCCTCTTTCCCATTTCCTGGGCTCTGGTGGCATAGTGCCTAGGGCATTTGACTGCTTACCAAAAGGCTGGTGGTTCAAACCCATTAGCCACTCCTTGGAAGGAAGGTTGGGCAATCTACTTTCATAGTGATACTGCCTCGGAAAAACCAAGGAGGGGTCGCTATGAGTCAGGTCCGACTCCATGGCAGTGAGTTCTCATTTCCTGATCTTACTCTGTCTCTTCTCCTTTTAACCTTTATCAGCCCTACATGCTTGCTTATTCTTTTCAAGCACATTCTGACCTAACTGAAAAATAATGAACAGAGCATATTTTGCTCTTTTTTTATTCATATACCACCCCGTCTTGGAGATGAAGAGATCTGGGGGTAACTGGCCTTCCTTCTTAAGGACAGACATCTTAGACTAAAAATAAAAAAGATAAACAAATTGTAAAAATAAAACAAAGCCCTCTGCCATTGAGTCAATTCCGATTCAATGACCCTATAGGACAGAGTAGAACTGCCCTATAGGATTTCTAAGGCTGTAAATCATTATAAAGCAGACTGCCTCATCTTTCTTCCATGGAGCAGCTGGTAGGTTTAAACCACTGACTTTTTGGTTAATAGCCAAATGCTTTAACCATTGTGCCACCAGAGCGCCTCTTATAAAAAATAGTCCATCGTTATTTAGTGAATGGGCCCCTATAAAATGTGAGGACATCTGGTAGCAAGGTGTCATGCTACTTTTGGACCTGTGTGTGTTTGTACTGTGGTCTAGAGCTAAGGAATCTTTATGCCAAGACAGTGAAGCCTTCACAGGGTGAGGGCCTGACTCTTGAGGTTAAGCTCTAAATATGAATAAGTGCCAGTGTAAGGCCTCAGGCTTACTTATTAATCCTGTCCTTCCTTTTTTGCTTTGAATATCGACTTACCCGCTGCTTATCCGGGTCCACAAAGCGGATCCCAAAATAATCTTTCTCAAGTAGGTTCAGGTGGTGGCAAAGAAGGTCAAACAGATACTGGCCTTTGGCATCTCTCTGCAAAGAAAGAAATCTCCTTTGAGAAATGAATGAGCTTATTTTAACAGTCATTAAAATTGTGTATAACAATTGCCTATTGATAGAAAAGATGCACTTGTCCATAACCATGTCCTCCATATTATGATGTATTAGCATGGTGCAGTAAATTACCTGGTATGGCTTTTCTAGCCACAAGTCTTTGTGAACTCAGGGGTGGAATTTGCCGTGAGCTACTGAGGAGCTCCTGATTGTAAATGTTATCCACCTGGGGTATTTCTGTTGGGAGTGGCACAAAGTAATTTTCTGAGAGGTTCCCTCTCTCCCAGGTGCTTAGAATTCTGATGTTATGATTAGCTAGCTTGGCCACTCTTCCAGGCTCAAAAGGAGGCCTCCTAGAGGCAGAAGTCTTTCTGATTGCTGGCTGAGAAAGACATGCTGCTGAAAGATATATGCGCTCCTGAGAGACACGCACTGCTGGGAAAGAGACTGTGAGAACTGTTGGGTGAGAGACAGTGGGCTGAGAGAGACTGAGCATTTTTCCTGAACTTGAATTGTAGCCTGGTGCTTCCCTAATAAACCCCATAATCTGTGAGTTCTGTGTGGTCACTGCAGTGAATTATTGAACCCAGGAGAGAGGTGGTGGGTGCTTTGGGAGGAACGGTTGGTGAAAGGGCTGGAGGGAGGCAGCATGTCTGGCCTTGCAGGAATAGGCCTTGGGCTACTGATGGTGATTCTGTCTTCCTCTTTGAGGTTAGAGGAGGTCAGAACATGTGGCCTCCTTGCCTTTTTAGCAATTAGATTTGGGGTTCTCTGGAATTCTGAAGATGTTAGCACTTGAAAGGAGCCTAAGAACCCTTCTCCCCTCACAAAGATGTCAGAGAACTGAGAGTAAAGAAAGATAAGCCCAGTTCCCATCCCTAATACACAAAGTATTCCTAAACTAGTAGGCATGAGGAATGTCAGTGTGGAATACAGCAGTAATTCCACCAAGTCCACTTAGCTCTGCCTCTAAAGTATATCTTGAATCCGTTCACTTCTCTCCAGCTCCTTTATCAACCCCAAAGGTCAGTCACCATTGTCTCTTGAGTGGACAGAGCCTTCCAGCTGGTTCCCTGCTTCCACTCTTGCCCTTTACAATCCATTCTCCACACAGCAGCCAGAGTGATACAAAAGTTTTTAGACATAGTTTTTTTTTTTTTTTTTTTTTTTGAGTAAGTACAGGCACATATTCAAACAGTACAAAAGGATATACTATGAAAAATAATTCTCTCTCCTGACCTATTCATCCTATGTTCCAGCTCCCCTCCCCAGAAGCAAGTCCTGTTACCTGCTTCCTGTATATTCTTTATATGATATTTGATAAGTAGGCAAGCCCATATGCATACATAAAACAAAACCAGTTGCCTCAACTTGATTTTAACTCATGGTAATCCCATGTGTTTCAGAGCAGAACTGTGTTTCATAGGGTTTTTAATGGCTATGAAGGTAGATGGCCAGGGCTTTCCCCCAAGGCACCTTTGAGTGTAGTTGAACTGCCAACCTTGTGGTCAGTAGCCAAGTACTTAACCATTTGCACCACTCAAAAACTCCATACACATCTCCTCTTTTTAAAGTATAAATGCTAGAATATTATATATACTATTCTGTGATTTTTTTCCCCTTCCACTTAGCATATCCTACAAATTCTTGCCTAAGGCACTTGACTGCTAACCAGAAGGCTGGCAGTTCAGACCCACCAGCCACTCCTTGGAAGGAAGGTTGGGCAATCCTACTTCCATAGTGATACTGCCTTGGAAACCCAAGGAGGGGTCGCTATGAGTCGGGGCCGACTCGACAGCACATAACAACAATAACAACAAATCTTTATGGAAGTAGATTGCTCCATCTTCCTTCTGCGAAGCAGCTGGTGGGTTTGAACCGCTGACTTTCTGGTTAGCAGCCAAATGCCTTATCCACTATACCACAAGAGGTCCTTACAGCACATATAAACCAAACCAAACCAAAGTCACTGCTATCGAGTTGGATCCGACTCATAGCAACCCCTCCTTGGGTTTCAGAGGTGATATCACTACGGAAGTAGATTGCCCAACTTTCCTTCCCAGGAGTGGCTGGTAGGAAGCAATCTGTAATTATCTTGTTGCTCTATTTGTTTACTTACTCATTTATTGCCTGTTCTCTTTCTAGACTGTAATTTCTATGAAGGCAAGAATCTTCCTCAGAACTCAGCACAGGGCTTAGGACATGACAAGTAGGTTTTCTATAATTATTTGCTGAATAAATAAATGACTGAATCAATAGAACGTAGAGGGTTGGTTAAAAGGCTTCACAAAATGTTAGCAGTCTAGGCTGTTTCTAACCATAACCTTCTCCCAAGACTGCCTGGGTGGGTATGGGAATGAGTTGGGAAGTTTCAGGGAACTGTCAGAACATCTGGAGCTCTGCAACGCCTGTCCCCAATGATCTCTGCACCTCAGCTCAGATGGTTGCCTCTGATGGGTCCATGTCTAACCCTGCATCCAAACTTAGATTGCCTTACAAGATCCAAAGTATCTCACATTGTGCCAAGGCCCAGGGTTGCAAGTGATCACAGAGGGGCCTGGCCCTGCTCCAAGAACAGGCAGGTCTTTAAGACCTTAACAAAAGGTTTACACCTCACCTCTGTTTGCTCACCCTACACAACTCAAGGAAAACTGAGACAGGACACCAAATTGCTCAGTAAATGTATTAGAAGCTTATCCTTGCAGGATTTGAATGATGAGTGAGTGAACAGCTCAAATAAAGATGGTGGCACCATGTGGGCACCTCCCCCTCCCACCTTGGAGTTCTCTCACTTCACAGAAAGAAAATGGAACTGTGGCTTTTCTCTTGCAGTGGTTGTGTGAAAAAAACACATTATATATTCCCTATACTAATAAAAAAGGATCTTGTATTTCTCAGCATCTGGTGAAACCTTCAGCTTTCCATGATGAGGTACCCTCTGGTTTCTATTTACCAGTGGTAGTTGTATCATTTTGAGCTACACGGCTTTTGCATAGATGAATGAATAGCAACATCTCCCTTTTCTATTTTTCCAGGGCTAGGGATTGCGGTAGTATGGGAAGGCAGTAGGAACAGACCTTGTACGAAATTCCATGAAGTTTAAATTCCCAGCCCAAACATAAAGGCAGAAACCTCTCAGAGCACTGCTGTGGTACCTTTCAAAGAGGTTTGCAGCATGCCCCTCCCTCAGAGTACTCACCCCGGTGGCTGGTGCAATGGCCTGAGAAAGGCTTTTGGGAGAGATCACATGGAGCTGAACCATCATAGTAGGTTCCCCAGCAGTTGCTGGTAGGGGCAAGTGTATACAAATTTTACAACATCCTTTCTTTGTAGGTCCCTTTGTACTTCAGATGGGAAATTTGCTGTGTCCTAAGGATATCCTTCCTCTCCATGGTTTCCTGCCGTAAGTCCAGGTGCTTCTGGACTATTCTGTGGGAGCCAGCCTTCTCCTTTGGTGGATGGCAAAGCCCAGCGACTTCCATCTTCTCTTCCCTTTGCCTGAAGTTAGCTTGGTGCTATGGCTAACTGTGTTGTACACTGAATGTTGTGCCATTGATTATACTGGAGAAACAGGTACATGCAGGTGATTACTGTTTAGTCACAAAGTCAGAGCTACAGGCCTGAGAATTTTTATCTTTAGGGCAAGTGAGCTGAGGTAGAGCACCCAAATCCTTACCCTCTAGCTAAATCTGAGGTTATTCTCTTCCCAAAGACATTAAAGTCACTGCTGTCAAGTCAATTCTGACTCATAGTGACCCCTCCTTAGGTTTCTGAGGTGGTATCTCTATGAAAATAGATTGCCCAGTCTTCCTTCCAAGGAGTGACTGGTGGGTTTGAACTGATAGCCTTTTGGTTAGCAGTTAAATGCCTTAGGCACTACGTCACCAGAGTTCCCTCAAAGACATTATTGGGTCCAAATAACTTATTAAGCACCCATTTAAAAAATAAATTTATACTTTATAAACCACAACAAGGAGCTGTGGTAGCATAGTGCCTAAGGCACTTGACTGCTAACCAGAAGGCTGGTGTTTCAAACCCACCAGCCACACCTCGGAAGGAAGATTGGGCAATCTACTTCCGTAGTGATACTACCTCGGCAACCCAAGGAGGGGTCGCTATGAGTCGGGGCCGACTCGACGGCACACAGCAACAACAAACCACAACAGGGCCTATACATATTTGAAAATAACAGTGCATATAAGTACAACCCATTTATTCTCACTGTGTGGGGGCATAGAGCGATTCATGGACCCCTTAGAATCATTCTGTAACTCTGAGGTTGGGAAAATTCCCATTTTTGCTCCTCCATGGAATTCCTGGTTCTGGTTCTTGATGGTCTAATTTTTAGGGAAGGGACTAAAGCAGCAAGCAGTAAACAAGGTTGGCCAGTGACCTGAACCATTCAAGGTTAACTGCATTTTCTGCCTCATAATTAGTACTCTTGATCAAGAGAGGAGCTTTTTAAATTTTAACCCATTATGAGGTTAGTCCCAAGGGCTCTGGCATGATGGAGAGGGTTAACATGTAAAAACTACTCATTAGGCTTCACCTTGTTCTACCCTGCTAGGAAATTCAATCAGGCTTGAAGAGATTGTGCCTCCCTCAGGGTCACAGGGCAAGAGTGATCACAATTTTTGCAGATCCTGGGCTGCATGCTGCTAAATGGGAGCTGGCCATGGTTTCACGGCCCTTAGAGAAGGCAGACATGAGATGGAGTGGGGAGCAGGAAGTGAGCACCTGCAGTCCCAAAGCACAAGAGTCCAGGGGTGGAAGAAGGCTACACCAAGATGGGGGATCTGGAAGAGGACAGGCATCTCAGGCTCCATTCTAATTTAATGTCATTATTTAAACTTATTGTAGACCAAAGACTTCCTTGTTTTCCTGACCAGTGTCCTCTTAAGGAAGGAACCCTGGTGGTTCACTGGTTAAGTGGCTGGGCTGCTAACTGAAAGGTCGGTGGTTTGAACCCACCAGCCACT